GAGGTTAGTGATAATCATAATGATGATGGTGATGATGATGATGATCACCATCATCATCACCACAATTATCATCATTATCATAATCATAATCAGCATCACCATCATCATCAGCATCATTATCAGTATCGCCATCGTCATCGTCATCGACATCATCATCATCATCATCATCATCATCATCATCATCATCATCATCATCATCATCATCATCACCACCATCATCATTGCGATATGTGTATCTAGCTCGGGCGTTAGAACAGCCAGTGAACTGGTGAACATCTGGAAACTGCTCTGCGGAGAAACAAAGACTCGCAAATGTCCAGGGTGTCCGGCGTGTCTGGAGTACCTGGGGTATCCAGGGTGTCCTGGATGTCCGAGGTGTCTGGCATGTCTGGGATGTCTGGGGTGTCTGGGTGTCCGGTGTCTAGGGTGTCCGGGTGCTGCCCGGGTGTCTGGGTGTCCGGGGTGTCCGGGGTGTCCGGGGTGTCGGGGGTTGTCCGGGGTGTCCAGGGTGTTTGAGGTGTCTGGGGTGTCCGAGGTGTCCTGGGTGTCTGGAAGTCCAGTGAGCTGTCTGGGCTGTCCAGGTTGTCCGGAGTGTTTGGGGTGTCCATGGCTATCCGAACTGTCCGGGGTGTCCCGGGTGTCTTGGGTGTCCTGGCGGCTTGTGTCCGCGGATTTTCCATGAATTGTCGGGGGTTGTCCGGGAACCTGTGGGGACTCTTATTCTAAAAATGTGGCTCTCGCATAAGCTCTGGGCACATTCTTCTACAAAATTGTAGGGGCTTCACGGACTAAGGGCGGTTCCTTTTCAAAACGTGGCTCTCGCCTTAGCGCCGCGCGCGTTGATTTTCAAAATCTGCAAAAGCTTCACTGATGCTCATGGCTCACGTACCAGAGACGGCGTTGAGCGACTCAGGACTGTCAGGGCGCGACAGTTACGTTGATTCGCGATGTTGAAGTCCCCAGAATGGTGTTCCGGAGCGATTCAGGACCGTCAAGACGCAACAGTCGCTTTGACTCGTGGCGTTGATGTCATGGGAACGGTGTAGTGGCACGCTTCAGGATCTTCAAAAACTTGTCTCCCAACGGGGCACCTCTCTGTGGAAAAGAACTCTTGTAGGGGCCTGTGAAGAGGGAGCTCGGAGGGAGGGTATATCCCAGCATCGTTGATGAGTCTTGGGTTTACACTGGTCCTCCTCCTCCGCATCATCATTGGCATTATCCTCCTCCTCCTCCTCCTCCACCGCATCATCATCATCTTCTTCATCCTCCACCCCTTCTCTTCATAACAACTTCCCCCTGTCGTAGCACCCCGAGGCCAGTCCCAAGGGCAGGCCGGGCGTTTCGCCTGAGACGTCCTTACCTCTGATGAGCCTCAAACTTTAAAGCTGGCAACAGCTTCACATATGGAGGGCGGATCGGTTTCAAATGATGCTCTCGCCTCAGCGCCGCGCACATTCGTGTTGAAAAATGGCAGGAGCTTTACGATTGAGGGCGGGACGCTTTCAAAATGTGCCTCTCGCCCTAGCGCCGCGCACGTTCGTTGTAGAAAATTGCAAGAATTTCACGCGCGGAGGGCGGGACACTTTCAGAATAACGCTCTCGCGTTATCGGCGCGCACTCTCGACTTACGGATTGGAAAGGGTTTCACGGATGGGAAGCGATGACATTTCAACATGGCTCTCCCCATAGCGCCGCGCATATTTGTTTTCAGAGGTTGTCACAGTTTCAAGGATCATCACGGCTAACGTCCCAGAAATGATCTTTTGGCGTGATGTCAGAACGTCAGGGCGCAACAGTCACTTTGTTTCGTGGTGTTGAAGTCCCAGAAACTGCTCTCTGGCAAGATTCAAGATCGTAGACGCAACAGTAAAGGTTGATTCGCGGCGTTGAACTATCAGGAGAAATTTTCTGGCGCGGCTCAGGACTTTCAAAGGTACTTCCAACGGGCCACTTCCCCAGTGGAAATGAATCCTGTAGGGGCATATGAAGAGGAAAATTGGAGGGAGGGTTTATTGCAACATCGTTCTAGGGAGCGTGCTTGGAGGGAGGGGCACATGGAGACCCTTGTTTTTACATTGGTCCTTTCCTCCTCCTCCTCCTCCTCCTCCTCCTCCTCCTCCTCCTCTTACCTCACCTCCTCCTTCTCCTTCTCCTTCTCCTTCCCCCCCCCTCCTCCCCCCCCCCCCCCCGCCCCCCCTCCTCCTCCTCCTCCTCCTCCTCCTCCTCCTGCTCCTCCTCCTCCCTCCTCCTCCTCCTCCTGGTCTCTCCCTCCCCTTCTCAACTCTCTCACTCACATCATCCTCATCATCATCATCATCATCATCATCATCATCATCATCATCATCATCATCATCATCATCATCATCATCATCATCATCATCATCATCATCTCCTCATCCTCATCCTCATCCTCATCCTCATCCTCATCCTCATCCTCATCCTCATCATCATCATCATCAGCATCATCATCATCAGCATCAGCATCATCATCATCATCATCATCATCATCATCATCATCATCATCATCACAAGCATCATCAGCATAAGCATCATCAGCATCACCAACATCACCAGCGGCAGCATCGGCATCGGCATCGGCATCAGCATCAGCATCAGCTTCGGCATCATCACCATCATCAGCAACAACTGCATCATCGCCAGCATCATCATCATCAGCATCATCATCATCGTCATTGGCATCGTCAAAAATATCATCACGATGCTGATCATCAGAACCATCACCATCATCAGCACAATCACCACCATCACCACCACCACCACCATCATCATCGTCATCACCATCGGCATCATCATCAGCATCATCGTCCTCATCATCATCAGCATCAGCAGCATCATCGCCATCATCATCGTCATCAGCATCATCGTCATCAGCATCATCATCAGCATCATCAGCATCGGCATCATCAGCAGCATCATCACCAGCATCGTCAGCATCAGCATCTTCAACATCACCAACATCACCAGCGGCAACATCAGCATCGGCATCGGCATCGGCATCAGCATCAGCATCCTCACCAGCATCAGCATCATCATCATGAATGCCATCATCATCATCATCATCATCATCATCATCATCATCATCAGCATCAGCATCATCACCCGCATCTTCATCAGCAGCATCATCATCAGCATCATCAGCATCCTTATTGTCAGCGCCAACATCATCATCAGCATCACGATGATGATTATCAGGATCACCGCCATCATCAGCACAATCACCACCATCACCGTCACCACCACCATCAGCATCACCACCAGCATCATCCTCATCATCATCAGCATCAGCAGCCGCATCATCACCATCACAATCGTCATCAGCATCATCATCATCAGCATCAGCATCAGCATGCTCATCAGTATTATCATCATCCTCAGTATCGCTATCGTCATCGTCAACCTCATCATAAGCATCACGATGATGCTTATCAGAATCATCACCATCATCAGCACAATCACCACCATCACCACCACCACCATCACCACCACCACCATCATCATCATCATCATCATCATCATCACCATTACCATCATCAGCATCATCGTCCTCATCATCATAATCATCATCATCAGCATCGTCATCATCATCAGCATCATCGTCAGCATCAGCATCAGCATCATCATCACAACATCACCACCAACGTAATCGGCATAAATTATCGTCTTAATCATCGCCATTGTCGTCGTCGTTGCCATCGTCATCATCAGCTGTTTCACCGTGATGATGATCATCATCATCATTATCATAATAATCATCATCGCCAAGCTCATCATCACCCTCAGCCTCGTCACCATCAGCATCGACTCCATCATCACCATCTCCCACAATCACAATGTCATCAACCTCCTCACAAGCATCACATACATCATCAGTGTCCATGCCATCATCAGCACAATAAGCATAAGCATCATCAATAGCATCGTCGCCATCATCATCAACATCGTCGCCGCCGTCGTCATCAGCATCGGCATCAGCAGCAGCATCATCAAAATAACAATCATCAGCATCATCATCATCATCATCATCACCATCATCAGCATCAGCATCAGCATCAGCATCATCAGCATCATCATTGTAATCGTCGTCACCGTTGTCATCGTCATCACCATCGGCGTTAACAGCTGCAACAGCATGATCATGATGTGGTTGATCATGGCCACGATCATGGTCATGATGATGATGATCATCATGATCATCATCACCAGCATCATCAGCATCAGCGTCATGATCATGATAATAATCATCATCATCAGCATCATCATCAGCACCATCATCACTATCATCGCCACCACCACCACCGTCACCACCACCACCATCATCGTCATCATCAGAATCAGCATCACCACCATCATCATCATCATCATCATCATCATCATCATCAACAGCAGCATCAGCATCATCAGTATTGGTATCCCTATCAACGTCATTACTTCGCCGGCATTCACCACGGTAACCATCAATTGCCATTACCATCGTAAACGTCGTCATCGTCATCGTCATCATCATTATCATCACCACCATCATCATCACCATCACCACCACCATCATCATCATCACCACCACCATCATCACCACCACCACCATCGTCATTAACACCACCACCACCCCCATCATCACCATCACCACCACCACCACCATCATCATCATGATCATCATCATCACAACCACCATCATCATCCCCATCATCATCGTCAGAGCAACTATCATGACGTCACCACTACGTCAGTCTTCGTTCTCCCTCCCTTGCAGACGAGGAGAGGAGGGGGAGGGAAGATGACAGGAGGGGAAAAAAAGGATAAAGAAACGGGGAGAGGGGGGGCACAAACAGGGAGAGGAGAAGCGAGACATGGTGCGGCAAATGGCGCCGCAAAAAGCAACCTCAAGGCTTCCTGGAGGCAAACATGGGCGCGTCGAAATCGTCGTGTCGACCCAAGCTGTCCAGCAGCATCTCACCCCTCTGCGCCACTCGGGGCGGAAGCGCCTGGAAGGTCTCTGGCCCCATTTTGAGGATGCCCTCGCCGTGCATGCAGATGGACTCCCCTGCGCACGGTGGGGGGGAACGAGGAGGAAGAAAACGAGGCCGAGAGAGATCATGGGAGGACACGGAGGACATGGAGGACAGGGGGGACGCGCGGAGGAGGATGGAACTCGGGAGGCGGGGCTCCGCGCTGCGCACATTCGTCTCCAAAGTTGCAGTAGCTTCAAGGGTGACTGGTGATTCGAAGTAAAAAGTTGGCTCTCGCCTTAGCGCCGCGCGCATTCGTCTCAAGATCTTGCAACCAATACTAAAATGGAGGAGGGCCCCGTTTCAATGTGGCTCTCGCTTGAGAGACGTCCGCATGTCGAACGACCACAGAATTGCTCATGTGCAACACAAGCACGCATCGAGAGCGGTTCCTTTTCAAAATGAGGATCTCGCTTCAGATATCCTCGAACGTAGTGGCCAAACAAACAACCTCGTGCAACGGTTACACGGAAGGGGGGGGGGCGGGTCCCTTTCAAAATGGGGCTATCACTGGACACTGCGGTGAACCTTACGACCCCACCTCGTCGCACCCCCAGCTCCCTGAAGGGTACAAGGCAGCTCTTTTTCAGAGTGCGGAAGGGGGGGGCGGGCCCCTTTCAAAATGGGGCTATCACTGGACACTGCGGTGAACCTTACGACCCCACCTCGTCGCACCCCCAGCTCCCTGAAGGGTACAAGGCAGCTCTTTTTCAGAGTGCGGAAGGGGGGGGCGGGTCCCTTTCAAAATGGGGCTATCACTGGACACTGCGGTGAACCTTACGACCCCACCTCGTCGCACCCCCAGCTCCCTGAAGAGTACAAGGCAACTCTTTTTCAGAGTGCGGAAGGGGAGGAGGAGGAGGGGGAGGGGGAGGGGGAGGGGGAGGAGGAGGAGGAGGAGGAGGAGGAGGAGGAGGAGGAGGAGGAGGAGAGGAGGAGGAGGAGGAGGGTCCCTTTCAAAATGGGGCTGTCACTGGACACTGCGGTGAACCTGACGGCCCCACCTCGTCGCACCCCCAACTCGCTGAAGGGTACCAGGCAGCTCATTTGCAGAGTGGGGCTCTTACCCGAACTTGAAGGGGCCCTGGGACACACAAATCAATGCACACAGATACAAGGATTCCCCATAGTTTCCCAGATGTTCTGGGTTGCTGTCCTCCCCCCCACTGCCCATATGTTCCCCTATTTTCTGGGGAATCGACGATTCTTTGTGCCTGTGTGTTCTTTCTCCTCCTGAGAATGGCAGGCCCAGGCGGCGCTCGTCGTTCGAGGGAGCGCTCCCCCTGCAGCGACCGCGGAGGCCCGCGGGGGGGCTCGCGAGGCGGGGCCTCGGGACGGGAGCGGGAGCGGCAAGAGCACTGCCGCACCCCGGGGCTCCTTCTCGTGCTCCTGGCTCCCCCCCCCCCTTTTTAGAGTTAGGTCGGGCATGGACTCCTACGGGCCAACTTTGGACGAAGACCGAAAAGAAGATTCAAGAAATACCACTCAAGAAATCGTCTCCTGACTATGTTTGCCTGTTTTTGTTTGTTCCTCCCCATTCTATGCGATGCCGGATGTTGTCGCTCGAACTTGCCGCCTGGGGGGCTCTAGGGTTCTCTTTGCAGCAGGCTCACGCCACGGCTGGAGCCATGACACCGCGACAGACAAAGGAGGGCTTACCACCCGAAAGTCAGCGAGCCGCTGCCTACTATTTTTGACTAGTTTTGGATACTCCTCCTCTAGAGGGACAGCCCCGACTTTATTCTGAAGGGGCGGAGCATCACGGGATGGACCGGGGGAGGTCCAGCGGACCCCTGCGGGACCCGCCCCCTCTCCAAATCTGCCGTTGGGGGAGGGCGCAATACCGAGCTCACACGCCGAGGGGACCTCAACAGGGGGCGGCAAGTTCCACAGCTCACAGGCCACGGCGGAGACGGCGACGAACGACGGTATGACGACGGCGGCAGCAGCGGCGACGACTTCCCCGAGGGCGGGGGCGCACGGCACGGCGCGGGGGACGACGGGGGCGGGGGCGGAGAGGAGACGGGCGCAGAGGAGCAGGGCTGCGGGCCCGCAGCGGGGCGAGTGCTTCGCCCCCAGAAAGAGGGGGGCCCTCGACGAGGCCCAGCTACGCAGTGCGCCCCCTTTTATCCTCTCCTGCCACGCCTGAGATCTGAGCGAAAAAAGCAGGTACGATGCCCAACAGCAGACGTTTCCACAGCCGGCAGCGGCCGCCGGTGGGCAGGCGCGCATGTCCGTCCCAGAAGAGACACGGCGTCCGCGGCGACGCCGACGGCGAGTCCTCTTCGAAACGGACATGAGCTGCCGTCCGTCTGGGTCCCCATTCTCCCCGGACCAATTTCGATCGTACCAGTCCGCCTGCTCCTCCCCCCTCCTCCCTCCTCCTCCTCGTTTCTGGGTAATGCTTGTTCGACGATCTGCCCCAGCTTGGAAGCACATCATCAGAGACACACAAGCATCTCACACCAGACATGTTCGCCGTCTTGCGCTGACGCGTGCTGCTGAGCATGATATGTTTGAAGTTTTGCGTGATGCTGGAGTGCCGCGTGCAATTACTGATCCCGAGCACCCTCTCCGTCGGGCCGAGGCTGAGGAGTGTCATGTTTGGTTGTGTCTCTGGTCGCTTCATTATCGTGTTTCGCTCTTTCGTCGGTTCTTCGGCTCGAGTTTGGAGTGTGCTACGTATGATACGGCGTTTGCGCATCGTTCGGCGCTGGTGTCGCATACGTCGTTTGACTCTCCCAAGTGCGCTCTTGGCCTTGTGTGGTCGGGCCGACAATGCTCTCAAGATCAGGCGGATGCACTGAATGAGGCAGAGTCGCACCGTCATGCACAGCAGCTCCGTTCTGGCCATAGCAGATGGTGGGTGGAGATTCCAGCGTCACGGCATACTGCAGCTCTTTCTGAAGAGTTGGCAAGCTTACTTCGATCGATTTCAGATGGCCAGGCCAAGGAAATCATGTGTGAGTCGGATTAATGTCTAGAGCCATCCTCGGTGTCGGACTTCCTCGATACCTTCGAAACTCGTGCTCAGGTAGCTACCTCTCCTATGCTGGACCCCCCCCCCTTTTATCCATATCGCGTCGGTGATTACACTGGGGTGGCCTCTGAAGCTATACCTATTCGTATACAGCGGCCAACTGTCTTCGCCTTGCACTTGTTTAGTGGCCAGAAGAGGCATGGAGATCTGCAATGGCAGCTCGAGAGTCAGCTTGTGCTCCCGAGCGCGGAGGTGCTCATGCTGAGTATTGGGCGCGATCTCACGAGGGAAGGGAAGATCTTGGAATGGGCTGAACATATCCGAGCTCATCGTGTCATCAGCACGGGCGGGGGACCCCCATGCGAGACTTGGTCTGCGGCCAGGTGGCAGGAGGGAGGCCCCCCTCCCCTCGACGCACGTGGTGCACGTTTGGGGAGTCCCGTGGTGCACACCTCGACAAGCTGAGCAGCTGAGAGTAGGTAGCATGCTCTTACACGCTTTGGTCCGTCCCATGGCGGAGCACCTCCATGCGGGGACGGGGGCCTGGCTCGAGCGCCCTGCCCCTGCTCTGTGGGCCCCCGGTGCCCCGACGTCCTTTCGGTGGCCGCCTCTTGTTGCGGTCGCTTCGGCCCCGTGTTCGGCCACCTGCGTGTTTGATCCATGTGAGCATCAGGCCCCCGATTCTGACCCTTCTGGCTTTGGGAGAGCCCCCACTTGTACAGTCAGCATTCGTATGCCCACGTTGTACAATGAGCTTCGCAATACTCCTGGCCAGGATAAGTGCTCCCACGGTCCTGGTGCACACCCTTGTCTCCTTGCGAAAGATGGCCAGGGCCACTTTTACACCGCGTCCAAGAAGACTCATCCTCCAGGTATGTGAGCGAGCAACGACACATGTACGTGTACGCCCTCCGCGGTCTTGAGCGCCCGAACGTCCTCGCTCAAACGCCCTCCACGGGAAGCTAACCGCGTACGCGTACACATGTTGCTGGCCTCTGTGCATGTGCCTGGCGATCGCCAAGGGCATCAGTGCAAGTGTGCTGCAGGTGTGTGCAGAGTCGGCCAGCCAGGCTGACACTAAGCTTTCGGAGGATGCCGCCACACACACACACACACACACACACACACACACACACACACACACACACACCCATACGCAGAAGGGGATCGGAGGGGGCTGTGGGTGCGTGTTGTCGGATGGGGGTCCCCGCTCGAGCGGGAGCGTTCCCCAGGGTCCGACAGCCCGCACCCATACCCATAGCCAGTCCTCCTCCCGACGACCCCCCCACGGGTATGGGCGCGTGTTGTCCGTTCGTCCGGATTTCTATGTCTCGTGGGAGGGTCCCTCCTCCTCCGCCCCCCCCCCAGACCCCGGCCTCCAGCCCGACTTTGCGGGGGCCACGGGCCGACGCCCCAGGCGACAGCGCGTGGACCCAGAGCCCGACAGGCTCAAGGAGTCTGAGTCCGAGGCCGAGGCGGAGGAGGAAGATCCTCGAGCCGCTGGCCCTCCCGCGAGCCCCCACTTCGGGGGACGCCCCTCTGGATGCCGAGGCCTCCGAGGAGCCGGCGCTCCCTGAGTGCGCCGTGGAGGATCCTGCCGCCTGGGCCTTCGGCTCTGCTCCCGCTCCTGTGTCGCCGTCCCCCTCACGCACGCACGCGCGCGCACCACCACCCACTACGCACACGCGCGCGGAGCCACAGGTCCGCTATGACACGCGTCCGCGGATGGAGAAAATCAGCGCCATGGTAAGGGATGGGAGGGAGGGGTAGGATGTCAGATGTTGACGCGAGCACACCTAACTTGCCCTCTCCCCCCTCCCCTCCCCCGGCCCGTCTCCCCTCCCGCTCACCGATGCCCAGCGTGAGCGGATCGCCGCTCACCGAGAGGAGGCCAGGCGCCGTCGCGCGGCCCGCCGCGCTGCCGTGCCGGCGGCCCGCGCCGTGCCTGTGTCCTGTCTCGGGTTTGTTCGACCACCCCGTCGAGCCTCGCCCGACAGACCCGTTCGCAGGTCTGGTGCGGGTGGCCTGGCGCGAGGGACTTCTTCGTTCGTTGCGTGATCTTGTGATGTTGTCTCTCTTATCTGTCTGCCGTTGCATTCTGTATCTAGCAGGTACAAGAGTGCCAGTGGAGTTGAGGACGGCGCGCTGCCATTCCCATCGTTCGACGACGACGACGACGACGACCTCCTCCTCCTCCTCCTGCTGCTCCTCCTCCTCCTCCTCCTCCTCCTCCTCCTCCTCCTCCTCCTGCTCCTCCTCCTCCTCCTCCCTCTCCTCCTCCTCCTCCTCCTCCTCCTCCTGAGGCACTGAAGCACCGACGGCAATGGAGTCTCCAGACCCTGCCGCTTTCGTCCTCCTCCTCCTCCTCCTCCTCCTCCTCCTCCTCCTCCTCCTCCCTCCCTCCTCCCTCCCTCCCTCCCTCCCCCCTCCCTCCCTCTCCTCCCTCCCTCCCTCCCTCCCTCCCTCCCACCCTCCCCCCCTCCCTCGTCACGTCGACGGCAGGGGTGAGGAGTGCACACCCGGCGTCACCGGCCCCCGCGCCACGAGGCTGGGGCACGCAGGCCCGGGCGCGCGCACGGACAGGGGGGGAGGGCGCCCGCGGGACGGGCGGCGCGGGTCGTCCTGGAAGGGAGAGCGCGGCGAGGGGAAACGCGTGAGAGGGGGAGGAGGGGGGCGAGGGCGAGGGCGAGGAGGGCGAGGAGGGCGAGGGGGGCGAGGGCGAGGGCGAGCAGGGCGAGGGCGAGGAGGGCGAGGGTGAGGAGCAGGGCGAGGGCGAGGGCGGGGGAAGAGGGGGGGCCTGGCATCCGCCAGTCTGAATTGTCCGGTGCGCGACCCCAGAGGCCCTGCTGGCCCCCAGAATCTGTTTCTCGCGGCCCCAAGGGCCGAGCCCGAGGAGCAAGCGCCGAGGTCAAAAAGAACCACATCGCCGGAGATCTGGGCCTCCGCAAGAGAGGAGCGCGGCTTTGGACGCCCGAAGTGGGCACGGAGGACATGGTTACCGTGCCCAGCAGCAAGTACTGTCCAGATGCAACAGCGGCCGACGTTGGGCAGGTGGCTTTTTCTGGTCTCGACTGGACACCGTCCGCGGCGACACTGACAGCGATTCCTCGTCGAAGTGGGCACGAGCTGCCATGCCGATGGCCTCCGCTGGCCTCCGCCCCCACGGGCGGCCGAGGCGGGGGCGGCCCGGGCCGCTCTTGAGGTACTCCCCTGCGTACGTGGACCCGTCTTGGAAGGTGAACTCGCCT